CATTTCACTTTTTTTTGAATAACTGCATAAAGTAATGACATTAACTTGGATCATTTAGACTTTATTAAAATTTTCAACAATCCAAATCAATTTCATTACTTTAGATGGCTTGCCTAAAAATTATTTCTGTTATCATGTTAGCCAAAATATTTCACATAAATTAAGCCTGAAGCTGATCAAGCCGGACTGGAGTAGCAATATAAAAGTGACATTGGGAGCATTTGTATGTACTAATGTACTATGCCAAAAAAAAGTTGCGAATAATTTCTTATATCTGCCAAATCAAAGAATATTAATGTGATTTTTTCCATAAATATTTAGAGTGAACTATTCATTTTTCGAATAATTTTCTTAAATAACAAATATTGAGGTTTTTTTATTCTAGTTTGACTTTTCTTTGTCAAAGTTTAAAATTTTGACCTCGATATGCAAAAAAATATATTGTATCATGATATAAATGTAATATCAAACTATATCTTTTGAAATGTAATTTTAAAATAACAATTTTTTATAAAGTATTTTTATATATAAATATAAATATTAATAATCAAATTGTTAAATTAAAGATCATGAGAAATGAAAAGAAAATTTCTAGACGAAAGAGTACTACGGAGTATAATAGAAATTTGTTATGAACAATAGGGATTAACGTTGAGAGAACCAAACGCCGTCAATTCCTCACTACACAAACAGACCAAGGCTGAGGTAAGCAAAAGCAAAAAGCCAATCCGGGCCGCAAAGGAAGAGATAGCTTGAAGCACTGGCGATTCCATACCCAGATTTTCCCGGTTCTCTTTTTAACATGTTACTCACTCATTCTTCAAGATTTGCCAAGCTGATCGATTTAGATCGAGTGAACCCAGTTTTTGAATGGTGAAAATTATCAGTGGGTAAATGTTATGGGAGCTCAGAAGAGCATTCACGCTGGCAAAGGTCCGTCCATTTTTTCTCTCTTCTATGCTAATCTATTTGTTAAGAGTATCCCACATCGGAAAAGTGTGAGGAAGATAATTGGTATATAAGCTCTTGAGATGAACTAACTAATCGATTGGATTCAATCTTTTAACACGGTTCAACCCAAGTGTCTTATTGCCCAATCCTTTGGCCCACCTCGTTTGTCATGGTGTCCGTCTAGACGTTCATTCCTAGCGGCCCGTTAGTCTTTAACCCAGTTGTCCGTATGGAGTATGTACCCAACGGCCTGTGGCCCGTTTAACCCGATTGCACGTCTGGAAGTCCATACCCAGCGGCTCGTGGTCCTTTGGGTGTTGGCGCTCAAAAAAAATCAAGGGATGGGAGTCCATTTGCAAGTGGTCAACTGGTTAGATTCAAAATGGCCCGGTTGTCCACTTGAGGGGGAGTGTTAAGAGTATCCCACATCGGAAAAGTGTGAGGAAGATAATTGGTATATAAGCTCTTGAGATGAACTAACTAATCGATTGGATTCAATCTTTTAACACGGTTCAACCCAAGTGTCTTATTGCCCAATCCAGTTATCCATACCCCAATCCTAAATTCTATCACTATTACTCCATTATTTCATTAACATACTCCTTATATCTTTATTAATGGTCTATTATTTTAATGTTGCATTTAAATTTTTATTATTACTACTATTATTGTTATTATTATCACAATGAATCTTATGACATTGGTTATTTTGACATTAAAATGACTCGGGGCATCTACAATGCTTCGTTGGTAAAGTTGATGTTCAATGTCAAAAGATTTTTGCCTATAATTATTATTATTATTTTTATGTGCTGGTTTTGCATTGTGGGCACAGCCAAGATTGATGTGAATGTGGATTTCACACACAAACTATGTGCTGGTCCAATGCTTCATTCTTTCAGGTGCGTAGGGCAAAAATACTATTTCTGAGTTTGGCATGTTTCTTCATTACGAGATCCAATTGCATTTTTATTGTTCTTGTTCTTTACAACAGGAATTCTGGTAGCCCACTGGAACTAGTTATAGGAAGGTATAGTTGTGTAAAATCCATTTTAACCATATATTTATTGTGTCTGTGTGTGATTTTTTTTTAAATTTTACTTTAACTACATAGGAGTATATTTTACATTCAAAATGGCGGCTTCTTTGTGTAGCCTTTGCATAAAACACCCAAACTTATTCGGAAAGAGCGAGAAGCTTGATGTTCTGTGGGATAAAGGACTCTATGATTCTAATATAACAATAGCTTACAGGAAGCCGAGATCCGAATGGCTTTCTCAACCATCTCTTATAGTGCAGGTTTGAAGCTTTTCGCTATCCTTTTTTTTGTGGAAAAAAGCAGAGATGGCAGAGCCTGTTTGGTTTCAATTATTGATTGATTTGCAATTGAATCAGCCCCTCAAATTGCTCTCAAGTCTCATAAAAGAATAATCCCTGCCCTGGAAATTGGAATTAATAACTTCAAAGAACAAAAAAGAATAGACTACACAAATAGGTCTTGTTTGTCAGTGTCAAGATTATGACAGTAATTCTTGGCTGCAATATGCATAATAAAGTACTTCAGCATCTTTTGGAATCTACTCTGAACTTTATTGATCAATCAGCATTCAGTCTCTCCGGAGATTGGCATTCATGGAATCCCTGTAAACAACTTCTCTCGCTCAGAAAGTGGCGGAGTGAACTTATGTCGTTTATCTGCTGGTTTTGATTTGAGCGAACCCGCAAGTTCCTTTGGGAGCAGCAAAACTAGTATCAGGTTTGAGGTGAGTGTGTGACTCTATGCATGATTTCGCTTTTAAGTAAATATATGTGGGGCTGCATAAGAAAAATCTAACATAGTTTACAGCATGTTCGACCAGTAAATGATGGTGGTCGATCAATAAACAGAGATTTTCACGGGTTTCCAGTGACATTTAGGTATCCAAAGTTCTCTGTGGTTCTGATTCTCTTTGATTATTTAGCTTCATATTTTCTCAATCCTTGTTTGCAGTGGTGGCATTCATGATAGCATGGTAGTACTGAAAGAAGAATCCAGATTTGCAAGGGCAACTGATAAAAGTTTAACTGAAGTAAAGTGATTATCCAATCTTCACACTAAAATGAATCGTCTTTTAGCTGTTTAAGAATGATTTTTATTCAAGAAAAAGATAATATGCGTTTGCCACTGCGTAAATTTTCCTTAGCGTCCCTTTTCTTTTTCCAGTTTAGCCTGCAAATAGAGCAAGGGATTCCCATTCGTTCTCAGTGGCCGAATTTCAACCGTTTCAAGTTCGTTGCATCAAAAGGAGTGAAACTTGGGCTGGCATTTTTCACGACAAGGTGGGTGCACAACTGCGAAGTCTCTAACAATCTGTGGGTTCAGTTCTTAGCATTGTATTTGTTCATAATGCCCCTTTGCATTCTATGACTGCCGTCATCTGACAGACTTACAGGCGGTTCTATTGTGGGGAATATAGCTCCTTACCAAGCTTTTGCTATTGGAGGGATTAACAGCGTGCGAGGTTATGGTGAAGGAGCTATTGGAGCCGGGAGATTATGCCTGGTTTCTAAGAGTGAAGTGACATTTTCTTTGGTACGTGTTCTTTTAGATTGAAAATATTATTTGATATTCGGTGGATTTTTCATTGACAAAATCAATGGTTACTCTGAAGCTTATATGGATGCGTCCAAATTTGCTTGGGAAAAAAAATTGAAATGTCATGCCCAACCATATTCTTACTATGGAAATTCAATTTTTCCTTTTTTTAATTTGCAGGGGCAGATGCTAGACGGTGTGGTTTTCTTGGACTACGGATCTGACTTGGGCTCTGGTCGTCATGTGCCCGGTTAGTGTCGCTACACATCCTAAGTTGATAGTTGAGTTGGTAGCATTCATCTGAGATGGGATTTCAATCAACTAAAAGGGGATCTGTTCATAAATGGAGAAACTCTCAACAGAGAAACCCAAGCTGATATTTTGTTATTACTTAAATGTTATTAGGTAATCCTTCTTTGAGACATGGCAAGCCGGGGAGTGGAGTTGGCATTGGTTATGGCGTACGCTTGAAATCTCCGTTAGGCCACTTTCAAGTGGACCATGCTGTCAATGCATTTCATCAGAGAACACTCTACTTTGGCTTCAGTAATGTTACCTCATAGGTTTGGTTTTATTGTGCTTACTGATTTGTCTTGGTTTGGCTTTCTTCAAATTTAATACTGTGTGGGATAACTTTACAAAACTATAACTGTATGGTTCAGTTTTGGACTTCCGGTTCGGGTTTATACGGACTGGTTCAGGCCAAACTCAACATTCTGCCTCCAATGAATCTCAGAACTTTAATTAATAAACCAGTTTACTCTCAAGTCTCAACTGTTTCTGGCTTCAAGAATTTGTTCAGGTTGGACCTTGAACCGAAACCTAAGCTATCTGAAATAACAACTGATGATCAAAAAAATCCTGCCACACTGGAACTTGAACCGATTGCTTAGGTTCGTTTGTATTTCCATAATAAATAAATGACCCATTAGAATGGGAGATTGACACATTAAAATAATGAAGGAAGATACTAATCTTCGAAAACCAATGTTGTGGCCATTGAATCATTTCCATTCCATTTGAAATTTTCATCCATGTGCTTCTCTGCACTGTATGCCCTTGATTCTTTGATTTTCATGATTTATCCCTATTTGAAATGAGCGAGGACAAATAAAAGATTGAAATAAGAATCCCCGAAAGTAAAAGAAAAGAGTGAGTGTGAAACTTTGTAGTCTTAAACCCAAGTCCAACCCCAGAGTAAATATGAAACAATGGGGAGTCTTCTGGGGTAGCCCTTAGTTTTGAGTTATTTATCAACTCTTATAAACATGTTTGTTAAAATAACCTTGAGGTAGACGTAGATACATGACTTAACTAGAAATTTGAACCGTGAAAAGGTATGACGTTTTCATGTCATGATCTCATTACATGATTTCATTAGCAAATATGGGCATTTTAGTCGAGCCATCAACTCACCGTTGCAGGATGTTTTAGTGTATCTCAAGTTTCTACTATGAGGCTTACACAGTATTTTTAGCCTACCTTAGAGTTATTGTAAGAAGTGTGCATAACAAAGAATCATTTAGAGAAATAGCACAAACCAAAGGGTGTTACCCTAGGAAATACCTACAAAAACAAAAACATTTGAGACTAGTTGAAAAGAATCAATTTCCAAAAATAAAAAAAGTTGAAAAGAATCAAGGAGACAATTAACTAACGGGTAATAGGAAGAGACAATCTCTTATTATTTCCTTGGTCTATATATGAAGGGGTGAATCTCTCTCTTTAGGATTGCTCTTCGATCTTGAACTAGTCTCGAGTGACTTCTTAATGCTTGAATAGGTTGATGGACCCCTTCTCTCATTAGAATTCGGTTTGACTATCCCAACATATCTTTTCAACTGGTTCTTAGTGCCGTTAATTGGGTTGTTGTCGCGTATCATTGCTCCATCTCTCTGATTGATGTCTAAAATGCGATTTTCCCAGGGCTGTACCGCCATCCATCTTTCCCACCAATTCAAGCTCCAGTTACTAGTCTCCCGTTCATAGACAGAATGCTGCTGCTTAGGCCCTGCCTGCCACTGTAGTAATGGTGATGATTAATATAAATGGACACAACTAAACTGACAATTATATCATGACACATTAATCAAAATTTGGAATTTGATAGCACAAAGATAGGCTCATTGTGGGTTTCACTTTGTAATCCGTATGCTCTTTCTCTTATCATTTAGGGTCTGTTCTGTTCACCTTATTTTTCAGCTTATTACTTAGGGGCTGTTTGGCAACTTCTGAATGGGTAAGTGCTGAACCAGTAAGAGGTCTGAACCATTAAGTGCTGAACCAGTAAGAGGTCTGAACCATTAAGAGCTAGTATATTGCTTAACTATTCAGAGGCAAATGTCTGATCGATTCAGATAAGAGCTCTTAACCATTCAGACTCTGTATAATACTTAACCATTCAGAGGCAAATCTCTTAACCATTCAGACATCTGAACCATTAAGAGGCTGAAACAAACAGTCTGAACCATTAAGTGCTGAATCATTCAGACATCTGAACCATTAAGAGGCTGAAACAAACAGCCCCTTAGTCTTATTAAAATCAGATCAGACCGAATCAGATCAGACCAGACCAAATCTAGATGAGATCCAATTAGATAAGATCAGATCAGACCAGATCTTCAAAAAATTTGATAAGATCCAATAGATTACGCGAACGGAACAGAGCCTTAGTACATAATGCAAAGGCAAACAGGACAATACCTTCTTGACCAGCTGCATTTGTTCTTTTCAGCCAAGGGAAGGATTTTTATTGTCTAGGGGAAAGATAAATGTTTGATATGTAAGTTAAGAAATGCTTTCAGCAAGTTCAGACTATGAACTCCTCTGTACTAAATTAAAACTGCTTTTAAGTTTTGCATGAAAGCTGCCCAATTTTGTTGTAAAAAAACAAATTTTGGATATATAGCATTTGTAGCATACATAGCTTAATTCATGATAAGATATTTAGTAACTTAGTAAGAATGGTATGAAAAGATGACCTGATGAGCCAAAGCATATGCCATTGTCCTCTCCCGCTTTGCTGCTGCCTCTTGCCTCTTTAACAACTTGGCTTGAATTTCTTCCACAGATCCTATAGTGTGGCACCAACCTTCCTGTGATTGGAGATTTAAAGACATGAGAAGGTGATACCCATGTTAAACAGACTTTTCTCCATCATAAGTTAGTTTGATGACAATTTCTACCAAATCCATTCACAAAGTTATGCTAAAAAGATCAAGGAATTCCAAACAGTTATCCACACTATCACATTTGCAGCATAAATCAATCTAGAGAAATTCAAAGTGGAGAGCATAAGAAATTACTTCTATTTCGCGAACACGAGCCTCTCGTTGTTCTAGCTCTTCTTGCAGAAAGTTCTTCGGTGCATCTTGACCTTCTAAGGCCACACGAACACGCCGTGCCCGTACACGTGCCTGAACTCTAACTAGTGCTTGCATACAATGGAGGGTGATGGCAGCTTGTTTTCTCACAGCACGACCTCTCACAAGGGCTTGAAGTCTCACCAATCCTTTCAAAGCCCGCAAAGCTCGCCTTGCCTGGATGTTACCACGTTTAAATATGACTCAAATTCAAAAGCAAATCAATTATTTGAAAGCATGACATTTCATATATCAGAGAATGTATGTCCAATTAACAAGAAAAAAAATTATCCTGAAAAGATTGTAAAGATAGAGTTATTTTTAACTAAAGAGCTAATATATACAATTGAGTACCAGAAAGCCTCTAAAAGCTGTTTGGATGCAGATGGCTGCCATTTCTTCTCTAATATTCGGATGAACTTGAGGTTCATCCCGGTTTTGATGTGAAGTTGAAGATGAAAAAGCAGCAATTTGAACTGAAGCAATATTAGCATCTTCAAGTGAGGTAGAAGCATTATCTTCGTTATGGCTCAGCTCATTGCAGTTGTTATCCATATCAATAGAATGCTTTCTCCTATGCCTAGACTTCCCAGTGTACCCTGTTTTCTGTATTAATCATGGAATTTTAGTTACTATGGTTTCAGAACACTGAAGGCCTACTTGAGTAGCGCCCTTATTTGATAGCAGATTATGATTTCAAGTTAAAATATGCTGTTTGTTTGGCCATGATTATCATAAATTGTGGTTGAGTTGTAACTTTGACTAAAACAACTATAGTTTTTTGAGTCATTGGTGTGAAGTGAATTGAAATCATGTGATATGTAATTACCACATTCACGAGATTTGTACACAAAGACGACTTTTGTAATCTCAATGACTTCTAAGCAAACTCAAAAACCACAATTCGTAATTGTCATCCAAACGAGCCTTAAGGAACTACGAAACAAAAGTTGAACTCACATATTCATCGATTTCATAGCAAATCGACTTCTCGGGTCTTTTAAAACCGATTAGTGTCCTAATCCATTTCCCTGATACTCCCATGACAACAACTGCTCCAGAATTCAGATATACCACGTTATGATGTCCTGGAAAAGGGAAAAAACATCAAGAATCATCAACCTCAGAAAGCGAATTCAACATCAACCCAGAAAAAGGTAAGGTTGCTAAGTTCCTATAAAGCTCATGATAAGCATCTCACAAAGGACTACTAACTTCAATGTATCAATAATCAGAAGTGCCCAGTTTGAAACGGGCAAATCCCATGTCAGGATTGCTCGAAATCAGAATCCATAAGCAGGGTATTCTTTCCCTTCCGGGCAGTAAAAACCATCTCAAGAACACATTAAAAAAACTGATGCCTAAAAATGGCGGCTCAGATTTAACAATTCCCCACAACGTTATATACCAAATGATCAATAGATTGGCCCACGAAAACACAGGCAAACAAAAGCACAAAACGAATTGGGGATCGAGAGACGAAGACACTTACAAGAAGAGCGCGCATGCAGTGCGTGATCATCACATGATCAAATAAAGCTTGAGGCAAGAAAAGCCACTGTGAAAATGGCGGCGTGGCCGGACGAGGCGACGGAACGGCGTCGGCAGCGGGGCGCTGCGGATTTGTAGAGTCGGTGGGTTTTGGGCACGATGCATAATGCATTTGGATTTTGTAGCCAATCACGGGATTTCTTCTGCGTCGTTTTCCACTTATCACATGCCGACAAACCAATCACCGTTCCCCGAACAAAAGTTTCGTTTGCTTTTGCCCTATAACGCACTCATGAATCATGATGAGTCACTCCGTGCTAGTTTCTCTTCAATTTAAATGAGGTTAATTTACAACTAAAACATAATGACTTTCTCAATATAGGACCATATGTTTTTATCTCTCAATGTAGGATCATTATCTATTAGTCATTATTCAACTAAATGTCCAGCATCACTTGGACATTATTCTTCTCACTAGTTATTATTAAGTCCTATTTAGGGAATACAAAAATTTTAAGTCCTACATTGGAAAATAACTTATGTTTTAGTCATATTCAGTGCAATTTTCACTTTAAATGATTCTCATGAGATTTGATCTAATCTGATTTGATTATAGTTATATTTAAAATTATTTGATCTAATTTAATTTTATTATAGTTATATTTAAAATTATTTTTAATCTAGTCTAATTTGACATTAAGAATAAATTATAAGAATAAGTTGAAAGAACAAGCTCTAATCATGATGATCTCAAACTTGATTTCATTTTTGATATCATTGTCTTTATAGATTTCACATACAAAAAACATTGTTTTATGTATGTGATATCTAAAAAACATGGTGTTAAAAATAGAGTAAAATTTAGAGTACTACAAGCATGACTCTAAATTCTTTTTATCAAATTCAAAAAGGGTCATGCTAGATTGCTAGGGGTATCCCAATTTGTACCACTTTTTTCTGTCCCATAGATTTGACCTTTATAATTTTTTACAATAAAAAATTAACATTTGACCAATAATGAAATAAAAGGTTTACGGCATATTAAAAAAATAAAATAATATTTTGAGAATATTTCTTGAGATAAATTTAAAAAAATTTTGTATCAATATTTAATCTTAGTATTATTTAATTTATAGTCAAGTTTGTTAATTTTAACGGTAAATAATCAAAACCGAAGAAATATTTAAGAATGGAGGTAGTAATTCACAATTTTCACTTTGAAAAATTCCGCCCTAGAATTAATCGTAGATCTAGCCTTTTATAGCATTGCTCCATGCAAAGAGACCTGGTTGTTAAAAGTAAATGGTCTCATTTCCTAAATCTATTATACGGAGTACTTGAATCCCTTCCTTGAACTTATAAAAATAATATTTCGAGGTACCTAAATCTCTTTTATCATAATAATACATTTAGAGCTCGTTTGGTGAGTTTTGAAGATATGAATAAGATATAAATTTTGAAATCTAAGAGAAATGATATAGGTTTTGAAATCTGAAAGAAAAATGTTTGGAGAAAACATAAATGAAATCAAATTTCAGTCACAACCGTTTGGTGAACAACTAAGAAATCAAATTTAAGTGTTGGATAATGTTTTATTATAGAATGCAAATCATTTATAATGTCAAATTAAAACATAGAAAAAATTATATATTATTTCAAAAACAATTTGAAAAAAAGTCACGTACTTTGGTCTTTGGGTGAAAAAAGAAGTAGAAACATAGAAAAATGACACAAAAAAAACGGAAAAGAAAGAGTTGAGAAGAGACAGGAGAGAGAAGGAAAACGTGACACAGTTTTTTTTATCAACAAGGAGGGGGAGACCCCGAGCTAGTAGCCCCGTGAAGTAGGGCTAGCGTGCTGCATAGTAGTGACACTCATCATATCGTCAGTACTTAAGTTTTCCAAATCTGCAGTAGGGACCTCAAACGTTCTTCATGAAATGTCGTGAAAAGCTCCAAGGTTAGCAAGACGATCCGCAGCCTTATTTTGTTCACGCAAGATGGCTCTAAAGCCGATTCTATGGAATTTGACATGACACAGTTGTTTGATATCGGCTAAATGCATGGAATTTGACGGACATATTGTTAGGCAATCATGCTAGGGGTACACCAAAAAGTGTATCCCAAAGAAATGCATCGACATTTTAACAATTCACACTAGCACAAAATATATTAGTTCAATTTAAACAAATTGCACTGACATTTTTTGTCAATGCAAATCACCACACTAGGATCACACTAGCACAAAATGTCTGTGTATGCCTTTTAGGTACAAAATGGGGTACAAGTTTTGGTGTACTGGGTCACGTTTTCTGATTACAAACAACTGTGTCAAACATCAAATGGAAACAACTGTTTCAGAATGGAGTGTAAGCAGACTGGTGTCATGATACAACATCGGAATCCAGGACCATGCAAAAAAAGGCGTATCGTTTGTTGTTACTAACATCCATCTAATGAAGAGGCCAATCATGATGAAGAGCCAAAGAGAGAATAAGGCGTATCGTTTGCTGTTTGACAACGAGGCTGAATGTCTCCTTGTAATCGATGTCATAATTCTGATGATAACCTTTGGCCACAAGACGAGCCTTATACCTTAAAACAAAACTATTAGCGTTCCGTTTAATGTGATGCACCCACTTATAATCAATCAGAGTGCGATTTTTAGGCGGCGATGGTAGCACTATGGTGGCGAAGTTGGTGGTGTGGCGGCGGTGGTGGTGGCAAAGCGGTGGTAGAGTTAGCAGTGTAGCAGCGGTGGTGGCGGTGGTATGGTGGCGGAGGTGACAGTGTGGCGGTAGAGTATAATAGTGTGGAGTATGATAGTGCAATAGTCTTATTATTAACCAAGATCAATTATAAGGAGAGTTATATATTCCTTAAAATCAATTCCCATTTGCGTTATAAAACCGTTTGTCACCCTCAGATACTTTAATTATTATTTATAAGGAGAGTTATATATTCCTGCTGAGCGCAATTTATATTATACAACCGGCTGTACGGGAAAAACCGTACAGCCGGTGTTTAATTTGGGCTAAAGGAAGATCGGCGATGAAGAAGGTGAAATCGATCTACGGCAGGAATTTATTGCGGCAGGCGAAATCAATCTGCGGCGATGAAGAACGAAGATCTGCGGCAAGTTCGGGCGAAATCGATCGGCGATGAAGGCAGCAGGTTCGGGCAAAATCGATCGGCGATGAAGAAGACTCTTCCGATCCGCGATTCCAGATCTGGCCGGCGAAGCTCTAATTCCAAATCTATTCTAATTCCAATATGGTCTTCAGCAAGATTTTAGATTTTTATGCATGGTATGTTATTTAAGAATGAGTACTAGACTATTTGGGAATGAGTACTACTATGTTTTAGAATGAGTATTACATTATTCGTAAATGAATATTGTACAAATGTGTGAAAATGAGTACTACGTTATTTCAGAATGAGTACTGCGTTATTTCAGAATGAGTACCACACTATTTCAAATGAATTGTTATGTTTGTGCGAGAATGAGTACCACTTAACTTCAGAATGAGTACTACCCGGATGTACCTATCTCTATGTACAGCCGGTTGTACCATATACTTACTGAAGAATTATGAATTTCCTTAAACAATAATGTGGGAGTACATGTGTTTATATACACAAGCTATGCCTAATCCTAATCATGGTAGGATTCTACAATAGGAAACAATATACATACAATAAATATAGAATATATATTTAACATAAATATAGAATATATTTAACATGCTCCCAGCTACGTCGGTGTCGATGGTGGGCGAATCCCGAGGCTTGTCCGGAAATCCTGAAATAATATGGACGGGAGGCCCTTTGTGAATATATCTGCGTACTGTGAGGAAGATGGCACATGAAGAACTCGAATCTGGCCAAGGGCCACCTTGTCACGAACAAAGTGAATGTCTACCTCAATGTGTTTGGTGCGCTGATTCTGAACTGGATTGGTGGAGAGATAAACAGCGCTAACGTTATCACAGAGGATGAGTGTGGCGCGGCGTAGGGGTTGTTGTACCTCTAGTAGGAGATTTCGGATCCAGCTGGTCTCGGCAACGGCATTAGCGACGGCTCGGTATTCAGCTTCAGCACTGGATCGGGAAATGGTGGCCTGACGCTTGGAGGACCAAGAGATGAGGTTGTCCCCAAGGAAGACACAGTAACCTGATGTGGATCGTCTGTTGTCGGGGCACCCAGCCCAATCAGCATCGGAGTAGGCCTGAAGGGAATCTGTGCTAGACGGAGAAAGAGTCATACCATAGGTGGAGGTGCCGCGGAGATAGCGTAGTACCCGCTTCATAGCTATGACGTGGACATCTCGAGGGGCGTGAAGGTGGAGACAAAGCTGCTGAACAGAGTAGGAGATGTCTGGCCTAGTAAATGTGAGATACTGGAGGGCTCCAACGATTGAGCGATAGAGGGCAGGGTCGGCTACCTGGGAACCTGATGTGCCAGATAATTTAGCCTTCGTGTCGACAGGAGTGGAGATGGGACGACACGTAATCATACCGGCACGCTCAAGGATGTCGTGAGTGAACTGTGTCTGATGTAGAAAGAGACCATGAGCTGTCTGATGGACATTGATGCCCAAGAAAAAATGAAGGTCACCCATGTCAGTCATAGCAAATTCCCCCTTAAGGCACTCAGTTAAGCGTCGAAGAAGAGAGTCAGAGGAAGTTGTGAGGACAATGTCATCAACATAGAGGAGTAGGTAGGCAGTGTCCGTCCCATGAGAGTAGATAAAGAGAGAGGTGTCCGACTTACACCCTCGAAACCCCAGTGTGTAGATGAATCCAGCAAATCGTTGGTACCATGAGCGGGGTGCCTGTTTCAAGCCATAGAGAGCCTTCTTGAGCCTGCATACATAATTGGGCCTGTGGGGGTCCTGGAATCCGGATGGCTGAGAGGCGTAGACAACCTCCTGCAGGTGGCCATGAAGAAAGGCATTTTTGACGTCCAACTGATGAATCGGCCATCCTCGAGAGAGAGCAAGGCTGAGAGTGATACGTATGGTGGCTGGCTTGATCACAGGGCTAAATGTCTCATCATAGTCGACTCCGAATCTCTGGTTGAAGCCCCGAACAACCCATCGAGCTTTGTACCTGGTTAACTCACCTGTAGGGCCAAGTTTGTGCCTAGAAAGCCATTTTCCGGTTATGATATTTTGGTGAGGGGAGGGGGGTACTAATTCCCATGTGTCATTCTTGATCAATGCATTAAATTCCTCACACATAGCATTGTGCCAATTAGGGTCTTTGAGAGCACTACGGTAGGTGAGCGGGAGGGGAGAGATGGGAAGAGTGGTGTTGAGGTTGAGGATATGTTTGGGACAGGTTATGCCAGTTTTGGAACGCGTGACCATAGGGTGCTGATTTGTGGTAAGTGGAGGTGGGGTAGGGGGTGTGGTTCTGTGG